CATTGTAGAAGAGAATTTACATGACATGACAAAATAGTGTTTTCTAATAATATTGAAAACATTTAATAAAATAAATTGGCTAATCTATTAAAACGTCACATATTGTAGAAGAGAATTTACATGACATGACAAAATAGTGTTTTTCAGTAGTAATGAAGAGATTCAATACTAATTGTTGACTTGCAATTCAGCTCCAACACCCATTCGAATTTTATCGCTTTTTTATGACTTAACAAAATATTATTGCATTATATATATACTTAAAAATAATATCACATACTAGAAATGCCGCTTCATTCCATGGTTACATAATAAATAAAAATTCGTATTTAAAATGTACTTTAATTTTGGTTTGATGTTGACTTGCTTAAACGTTATCTATACTGTGAAATAATAATACTTGAAATATTTTATGCTTTTCATGAAATAATAACTTCGTAATCACAAACAAAAATTATTTGATAATAAACGGACAAAATTTATTTGAATATTTTTTTTTAATTAAATAAAGTTCTATTTCAATTATTTATAATTATAATTTAAGATACACGTGGTGGTATTGAAATGAATCTAAAATAAAAGTGCAAAATTTCACACGCCTTCCACTACTTATCTATTTAAGTACATTACCTAAGAAGAGATACTGTAACGATACTATAATTGGAAAGTGGAATCAGTTACATGCACTATCGTTTTTTCTTATTTAATTAAGAACATTAAGAGCAAATTATTCATTTTTATTATATTATTAAACGCTTTTAGTTGTAAAGGCAAAAATATTACTTCAAACTTTAAAACGTTTTTATTATAAGTATTATGAACAGGTTGCTTATATAGAAAGTGTAAGTATGGATTAAATAATAGATGTATCTATTATATATATTATACATATCTATTATATATATTATATATATCTATTATAAATATTATATATATCTATTATATATATTATATATAATATACATATATCTATTATATTTTTTTTATTATATATTTTATTATATTATTATATATATTATATATATATATATTTATATATATTATATATTATTATATTTATATATTATATATATATTATATATTATATATTATATATTATATTATAATTATATATATATATTATATGTTCATATGTAAATATATATAGTATGTAATAAAAATTAAAAACTATATCACTTTGCACACAATATAGAAAAAAGCCTGTTTCTGAGATTCAGTTAGTTCCTGTCTAACTTTAATACGTAGTATATTCTTTAAATATGATGCAGTAAGCACTAAATACTCAAATAAAAAAAATTACTATAAGTAGAAGATAAGATTATAAATACCATTATATGCAGTGGATTAAAATGTATGAATAATTGCTCACAATACATTACAACATCCGATTGAATGATATCACGATTGATTTTAGATTATAAATACATAAAATGACCTATCAACTTTAATAAAATATCAAAGTTCAGAATTGTTTTTCAAAATCGGAATAATATAGTACTAACAAAATTCAAAAAGACTATTTGACATAGCTCTAGTACAACAGATTAAGTGCAATAATAATTTAGTTCATATTCAGTACTTCTAAATCCGTAGCAGTCATTATTCTAGGTTCGATTGAGTGATATCACGATTGATTTTAGATTATAAATACATAAAATGACCTATCAGTTTTAATAAAATATCAAAGTTCAAAATTGTTTTTCAAAATCGGAATAATATAGTACTAACAAAATTCAAAAAGACTATTTGACATAGCTCTAGAAAAACTTCTAAGCCCGTAGTAGCCATTATTTTAAGTTCAGGCAATGTTTAAAAAAAACCCCGTTAAATAAATAAATAAATAATTAATACTTTAGAATGTGAAGAAGATAGAGTAAATGTATCATGAACGCCAGTGATCATCTTTTAAAATAACAACTCTTATATCTTCAAATATATCTATCATGAATATATAAAAAAAATACAATAAATAAATTAAAATTAAATAATTACGTTTGCAATGTAAAATACTCAACGTCATAAAGCGAAAATTACTCATTTAATTAGGTGCTAGTTCAGAGTTTAACGTTGTTTATAAACTTTGAATAGTTTTTTTTAATCGTACTCATGTTAGACAGATGAATAAATTACTAGTAACAGCATTTATCGTAAAAGACATGATCACTTAACCTATATATAGTTAACTCAATATAATAAGCTATAACAATACAACCTCGCTAGCTGACTGAACCAATTTTAGTGTTATCTTAATAACTCGGATAGCTACTTTAATGTAAGCATTGAGGATATCAGATACACATTTAATGAAGTGGGAACCTGCAGTGAATAGACGTCTTCTAGTAAAGACAAAACGGTGGCAGAGTAAATAAAAAACATATTCATTTTTCTTTTTTCACACACAGCTTTGACAGCAATGGTTGTAAGGATCCCTGCATGCCTACTTATTAGATATTAATATATTGGGTGCTTTGTCCTTATGTGATCGTACGTGGCTTAGCATCAGTGTTTTCCATGACACTCTTGGTCAATTATATTTAAGTGTCGTAACATTTAACCAAGACCTAATAAATAGTTGTGCGACTTTCTATTAAATACATTAGTTCTAAACTATCTAGATATGTACCCAAGACCAAACATCATATGAGATAAATCTGTTAATACATCGTTATCACATTCAGATATACCATATTTCGATATAATGATCTATGTTCTAAAAACGTAAATTAAATATGAAATTTTTAGCAAATTTTTTATTGTTATAAAGCCATTTCAAAGCACAATGGGCCAACAGGCCTAAGTGAATCCACTAGTGATCGCCGGTATAACCTAACCTAAAGCCATTTCAATGCAATATGCATTTTAGATCTCTATATATATTTGTTTCTTTATTTGAAAATCAAATATAAAATATAGGCACAAATACAGTTAACCTGGTACATGTCTTCATTATAATTAGTGATGAATTAACTTTAATAATAATATATTCATACAAAACTTAATTATACTTTAATATTCAATGGTTTTTGTCCATGTGGTTCTCGTTTTCTAACTTATTTAATACAATAATTAAGGTTTATTAGTTTCTTAAGTCGTTCTAATAAATACAGTAAATTATGTATTTATATATATAGTATATATATATAAATATACTTTCATTTTCTTTCATAAATTTTTATTTTTTTCCTTTGTATTATGTGCTCTCTTCAATAGGGTGAAAGTATGTTTTTTTAAGATGCCATGTCTGAAGCACATGACAGCCAATTAAACAGCAAAAATGGACTGAACGACGATTTAACTTAGCTTTCGACAGTTACCTTAAATTTTGTTTTAAAATTTACCTCAAAAATGTTTCAAGAACTTTTTTCTCTTTACTCTTTTTGCCCTTTCATATTAAAACAGCACTTAAAATACAACTGATACAACCTGTTGATCACTATGTTCAATAAAAAATTATATATCAAGAGTTAAATGGACAGGTATTGCATAGATTTTTTAATAAAGTTAGGGTCTCAAAGCGTAAATTTACTACAAATAGATCTTTTTTGATGCGAAATTCATTTTTTTTGTATATAACATTAGTCACTTATACTATTATATATAACATTAGACGAATATTCATTACATATATTAATATGTCATAAAAATTTAACATTTAACTGTGCACAATTTCTGTTTCATTTTTTTTTTTATTGTTTCCTTATTCACATTATTTTTTAAAGAGCTGATCACTACTTATAATCAACTCAAATAACGCCTAAACTGTATTTTAATCATGTTTACGGAATCATGTATAATTTTTGTCGTGTGAATGGGATATGAGTGAGTGGCATGCTTAATAAAAACTAAACAAATAGACGATGGCATGAGCTGCAAGATTGTAGTTGGGAAATACATTTGAGATAGCGTGTTAAAACTTCATATAGAGCTTCAAGTTTTAATTACTGATATCGTATTAATATAATATGAATGATTACAGGCAATATTTTAAAATCAATAAAATAATAATGATATGATAAAAGTAAAAGGTCATTCAGTCTCACAATTGAAACGTAATATAAAAATATGTAATATGAAACTTCAACATATTGAAAACAAAATATTAATATAAACATATAAAAACAAATTGAATAAGCTAATAATGAATTGTATTATTAATTCCGCAACTAAAATAATTTCTTTTCTTTTTTTTTGTTAAAACTGCAGGGGCGAATCGTGCCGGGTCACGTAATCACAAAACTTTTTTTCACTTATCATCTTCATGCGTTGTTTATTTAAGTGAATTTTATATATCGGCAAAGCGGTATTTGCATCGAATAAGCAGCAAATTAAATAAATTTATTTCGTTATCAAATCTTGAAAGTTAAATAGTTTAAAAATTGGCGATAATTTCTACTCAAAAAAAAAAAAATGACCCGTAAAACGGAGTAAGGTGATGAACGATGTCAACAAAGAGAAATGTGAATCTGAACATAAAATGAAACAATGAACTTAGTTTCTGACCACATATAAATTTAAATTAATAACTTTGACCCATACTGAATTTTTAATTAAAGCAAAAACTAAATATTAATACGATTAAGCGCTTAATTTCAATATGTTTCAGTAGCGAAGGCAAAATCCATGTACTTTGATTTGTAATATTTTTAATTGTTACACTCAACTTTGGTTTTTGTTGCGCCTGTCTATGGAAATGTTTATTGAAAAATTGAATTAGAATTAAAAGAATTAACCGCAATTAGACGGAAAATTAAAACGCCACGTTCAAAGTCCAAAACTTAAGTTTTTTAGCTTTTTAAGAAGTGCCATGTAGTTAACTGTCTAATATATTCAAGATATAATTATTCGCATTGTCATTTGGCCAACGAAAATTAAATAAAACAATGACTTTTGAAAAAAAGATACGCAATATCTATTGTTTTTATCTGTTAAAATCACGACACTATACATACACATATACATTTTTTTGAACTCATATACACATAAATTAAGAATTTACTTACTTCGTTAAGGAAAGAAGTCACATCGTATACGTTATTATGTATAACTATCCAGGTATCCTTGTTTGTATTATGTTCGGCGATTTGTTTACGAGTGTAAGTTTTAACTTCTTCCGACATTTTTATTATTTTTAATATTAAATTGTATATATAAAAATAGGTTAACTAAACTAGTAGTTTTCTGTGGCACAAGACTAGTTATACGCCTCTCAGCTTTGTGAATATAAATGGAATGTGAGACATTCTTGTGGTGTGGTTTTTACGACACCACTGACAAATTTGCCCGAAACAATTTACAGCGAAAACCAAAGCAGTGTTGTATTTTTTTAAAAAATGCATAAAAATATTATTAAGGCCGTGTAAGAGTACGAGTAAATTGCGGTAAAGTAAATTTAAATATCCTACGAATTTTTTTGCACTGCACTTATACAAATATTTATTTTTTGATTTATTTATTATTTTTGGTTAAAAGTTTTCAAATTTATTTATTTATTTATTAAACATCTTATGAAATTTTCACAATGGTATTATCTAATTCACCTAATTTTTATCTAATTTACCCTACTCGTAATTCTGGTAAATATCAACATTCCCTGCCATACCAACATAATTTACTATTTTCCTCAATATACCATCAATTTATAGGCCGTATGCAAGGCCTATATAGAGCATTATTTTTTAATTTCAAATTTACGCTTTATTTTCACTTAAAAACCACCAATAGCAATGAACTGTCAGATGTTAATTTTTAGTTTGTAAGTAATTTACAAATTCTATACATTACCACTAGATGGCAGAACTAGTTTTTGTAATCCATGTAAAAATTTAAAACTTTAAAGCTTGATGTTTATTGAATAAAGCATAATCATTAGTTCCTATCAATTTATGTATAAAAGTAAAATGATAAAAATATTATATATTGAATTGAATTTTAACGATATAACAATATAAACTATTGTTTTCAATAGAGAGGTATTTCGAATAGTATTAAATTACAACAATAAAATTTAATTTTTTTTAATTATATGAATATTTGGCTGATCATGAAGCTGTTTTAAGTATTGCCAAATTTTCGTCATCAATGGTCTGGAAATTATTTCTTATATATAATTATTCGTAAATAATATTTTAAGACTGCTAGTACCAAGAATCAAACTCGTGCCCTGCCAAAAATATTATTAAATATAATGATATATGCATTGACGCTTTTAACAAAAATAGTTTCCAAGTAAACTTATTGTGCTAAATTCACTATAACGAAAATTAAGATATCACAAAAAACTTTTTATTTAGATATTTTTAACATCAAATTTTTAAAAATTTGTCCTAAAGAAAATGTATATAATTAATTTGGAACGGAATTGATAAACTGTTTTTAATGTGTTTATTTTAACTTTTATGTTTAGGCATTTTATGTTCATTGGATTATACTTCTGATCTTGTATTACTTTTCATTTTTCTTGAACTATCTGAAATCTTAAGTTAGATTTATCTAACTTTTTTATGACATTTCCTTAATATTTTAATATAGTTATGGTTTAGTGATTTCCTATCTTCTCAAGGCATTTTCAGCTCCAGTATTTAAAGCATTTTTGCCGATAGCTTTCTTCAGGTATCTTTAGATAGAAAATTATTTCTGGTACATCTGGAGACTTGAAACATTTGTATTAATAGTCCACGAATTTTTTATTTCTAATTTCCTTTCAAACATTAGCTGAATTAATTTTATTTTTTATTTGAATTTAGTTTCTTATTATAAAAACTGCTTCTGTCTTCTCTTGACCTTCCATTTGTTTGAAATATTATGCTTCTTCTTTGAAAATCTTTCAGATATTTTTATGATTGGGTTCTTTTTATGAATGCATAATACAAATGTCCTCAACACGTACAAACATTGATCTTTTTATATTTTCATATATTCACTACGTATAGTTTACACATAAATAACAAAAACTGCGCTGCATAAGAGCTTCACAATTTAATCTGAAATTTTTTTCATTTTATAGGAAATTTCCAGTGAATTAGTTTAATTTCAATTGAATTCTTTACATTCCATTTTGACAATATAGAATATTTTTTCAATATCGAATAGTTCCAATCGTGCAGCTTTTTGCGATCAGTGCTTTCAAAATTTACACGAGTTGATTATAAAACATTTGTAAACTTTTTCAAAAACAGTTTTATTTAAATAATTGCACTATAATCAAAAACGATTCAAAATTTTTTAAATATCTTTAAACAAATCACTTTTCAGACAACTTGTAAACTTAATGATTGTTCTTCTGAAAGTACTTGTAGCGCATTGTCGTAACGTACAAATTTATTTATTTGGAATGTGCTATCTTCATGGTAATCCGCATCAACAACAAACACATCTACAACCTTATCGATTGTGTACTTTTCCTGCAATAACTTATTTATTAATATAAGTGGAGATATTTTAATAAGACCCAGCCTATTGGGACATATAGTTAAAGGGAATTCATTGCTCTGCCCTGGATCTAAATTTCCTATTGAAAACTGTGCACTTCCAGTATAATCACACTTATTACTTAGTTTTGTCTCCAATTTAACTACGAGGTCCATCGGACGTTCAGTGGTATTTGTTACGCGGCATTGAAAAGTGAAAGGTTCACTTATTTTAACAATATTCTCTGCATCGATGATTTCTAAACGCACATCTTTATATTCAAAAGGCTGAAATAACAGTTTTATAATATTTTTGTAAAGCAATAATTGAGTTAATAATAAAAACTCACTAAACGCTGCAATTGACTTGTTTGTAAGCGACCTTTTTCGCCAAGATTCGAACGCCAAACTATATCAAGTTTACCCACAGCACTCGCTTGTCTAAGTTCCTTGATATCTTTCGCAATACTTGGTTTTGGCTAATTAAGTAGAACATTTTAAAAGATTTCATGGCATGGAAACTAAAGAATTTAAAGAAATACCTTAATGCAATAAAGAAATTGACAGCTATTGTTTGGTTGCAACATATTTTTTGTGGAAAACACTGACTCTCCATTTGGCAGAGTATTTAAAGAAGTAACAGTGTAGTGTTCTGAACTATCTAATTCCACTTTCTCCAAACAAAAGGGTCCAGTTGTTATGTTTTGTATCTAAAAATGTATGTTTTATTTTTTTTTAATTGATTAACAATTTAACGAATTACCTGCGCCTCTAAATAGCATTCATCCATTTCAGCATTAATAAACTTGGTTTTTACATCAAGTGGTTTAAGTACTTGAAATTTAAAAAATTTGCGAAAATTTTGTGGAAATCCAGCAAGAGTATTGTAATTGACTTCACAAACTAAACTAAAATTAAAAAATCATTTTTAATCAAATATTTAAATATTTTAAAAGTTTATTTACATATGAGTGCCGATTTCTTTAACTTCATAGCGAATAACATCATCTATTGTTTCCTCTGGTCCCAGCAATACAGATTGTGTTTTCTTTTCATGCATTAAC